GATTAAGGCCAAAAATTGGGGAAGTGGAGTTAGGCTTTGTTTTATTTTTTATCTTTTAGCTGTGACAGTGTTTTAAAATTAATTTGTGTGCATATTGAGATTAACTTTTCTTAAGTTTGATTAAAGATAAGTGATTCACATCAAAATTAAAAAAATTATAAAAAATTACTTCTTAATTAATGTTTTCAAATAATGAAATCTTAATTAATAAAGGAAAGAACAAACCCTCTTATTTATTTCATGAGAATGTGAAAAATCAAGAAACATTTAAAAATATTTAATCAAAACCATATAATATTCACACCAAAATTAAAAAGTTTATAAGAAATTACTTCTTAATTAATCTTTTCAAATAATGAAATCTTAATTAATAAAGGAAAGAACAAAGCTTCTTATTTATTTAACGAGAATGTGAAAAATCAAGAAACGTTTAAAAATATTTAATCAAAATCATATAATACACATCATATAATACAAGCTCTGTTTAAATCATGGTTGAAATTAAATACATATTTTAATGTTTTTAATATTAAAATGTCTTAATTTTTATTTTTTTATTTAATATCATTGTTTCTAATGATTGATACCTAGAATTATTAATTTAAATTTGATAAAACAATTAATATTAATTTAAAATCAACATATATTCTTTCACTATATTTAACGGTTTGAGAAAAAAATAATAATTGAACCAAACACACCTTTACACATCTGTCCATGTATATGGTGACATAGCTCTCCGTATACATGGTGATTGGATGTGACACCAGACAAAGTTTATTAACAATAAAATTTAACAGGACCTGAGTAAATTAGATTATCCCTCTTCACGTGGGATTATTAGAAAGAATTAACAGTGTATTATACGGGAAAAAAATTTCAATGATTAAGGCCTGGGGAAGAGGAGTTAGGCTTTGCTTCCTTTTTTTTTTTTAGCTGTCAAGAGTATTCTAACAATAGTTTACATATATTTTGGCATCAATTTTTTTTAATTTGATTAAAATTATGTTATTCACACTAAAATTAATAAATTTATAAAAAATTATTTCTCTATTAACTTATTCAAATAATCAAATCATGATTAACAAAATAAAGAGGAAGTCCTCTTATTTGTTTAATGAGGATGCCAAAATTTAGAATGTATTAAAAATATTAAAATATTTAATCAAAATCACATGATCAACATGATATAATATAAATTTTATTTAAATATGATTAAAATTAAACATTTTAATATTTTTAATATCAAGATGTCTTAATTTTTATTTTTTATTATTTAATTTGATTGTTTTTAATAATTTATACCTATAATTATTAATGTAAATTTGATAAAATAATTGATATTAATTTAAAATCAACGTATAATCTTTTACTATATTTAACTATTTAAAAAAGAATAATCATTGAACCAAACACACCTCTACACAACTCTCCGTATATATGGGGATGGATGTGACACCAGACAAAGTTTATTAACGATAAAATTTAACAGGACGTAACATTGTCCAACACTAATTAGCCATAATCTTTGGAGGGAAAGTGTTAAACATGAAATTTTAGAGTTTACGCTTAACATTACTAATTCCTTACCTTCAAAAATTTCGTAAGTTCAGAAGAAAAAGAGAATTTAAAAAAGGACGTAACATTGTTTTATCCACATATCCTCCTCAAGAACTCAATCCATTGTTTGACAAAAGCTAGGACACATAAAACAAATGCCCTGAGGCAAACACGTATTCAAATCAATAAACAAATTAATCCATTTCGGAGTCAAATTTTTGCATTTTCATTTTCATTGTATAAATCTCTAGCCAAATTTTTGTAAATTTCATCTGTCTAGCAAAGAGCCAAGAAGCCCTAAAAGGTAGAAACTCATGCAATGGATAATATTTTTTCCATTTTCTTAAAACTCCTTGGCATAGTATAAAGTATTTCAAATAGAACGGATTACAAATTATGGGGAGGGGAGATTTGAATCTCAACCCTGCATCGAAAATAAGATATATTGTTATTAGGTTACGAAATTCAGGTACTAGTATTACATTTTTGAATTGCAAAATATCTATTACCATTAATATATATTAAAATTTTTAACTTCTCAGGGCTTATACCTACAAGTTTTAGCCATATAATTACACTTTTTATCCGTAGTTATATGACATTTCCTCTGAAATGACATATTATACAGTCTTTGAGTATTTAATTACTACCTGGAAATCAACTAATACATATCCTTCTTCCAATTGTTTCATACCATCGCAATTATCATCAATATATAGTTTCAAAATTAATAGGACCTTAATTTATAGGAGGCATGAACCAGCAATCGAGGATCTACTGAAAAGACTTCCTAACAATTTAAGCTTGGGACGTCTAGCAACATTTTTTAATCTTTACATAATTATTATAAAGATGTAACCAATAAAATAGCAATTAAATTAAATACCCGAACTTAAAAACCCAAAATTAAAAATACAACCTAAAAAACCCGAACTTTAAAACCTAAATCCAGCCCAAATCCAATACCCAATTTCAGGCCCACATCACTGTTAATCTCACTGACCACTAGGCCCCAATCTCACCTGTAACCCTATTGTCAAGTAGGGCTGGGCATTTGGGTTAAATTGTCTAAATCAAATTAATTTTTTTTTGTTATTTAAAATAATTTTAGATAGAATTTTTATATTTAATTTGAATTAAATTTTTAATTTAGTTATGATTTTGGTTATTTAAAATTATTCAGATAATTTATTTAATTAATAAAAATAATCGAAATATGTCATCATTCTTCACTTTTTGTCATTAAAAGATTTTTCTTTTTAATTTTGATTATTTCTAATCTTTTTTTCCATATTCCTATCTATAAATTTGACTAAAAAAAGAATTTTGTCTAAAAAAAATTTCATATAGCACAAAAATAATATAAAAAATAAAATAAATTTATATTAAAAAATTTCAAATAATTTTGAATAAATTGTTGGTTTATATCGCTAATTTTAAATATGAGACAATAACTATATTCAAATCAAAATTAATTTTAGTCATTTCAATTTTATTCAAATTCATCCGAATATAAAAATTATTCAAATTTAAATTTAAAATTTAAAATAATTCAATAATATTCAAAATGTGCTTATCCCTATTGTCAACCGTTGGTCGAATCACCTAAATTGACATAGTTTTTGCAACTTAGCAATGAGAATT